AAAAAAAAAAAAAAAAAAAAGGGAACTCGCACACTATTCATCATCTCACCTCACCCTTAACCAAACCAAATCAATCTACAATGACCACAGCTAGATTTGAATACGGTTTGATTTAGACAATTTGAGGCTATTTTTCAAATCAAACCACTTAAAATGGTTTGAGAAAAACCATACCAAACCACTTGAATTTCTAAATTAAACCAATCCAAACCACCTTCTTTAAACGTTTAACAAAGAAAAAATTTAAATATATAAAATTAATCATAAGTATTAATCTAAATTTTCACATTAAAAATAATACAAATCAAAGTTCTACAATTCATTAATTTTAATCATTATAATGCAACAACTTGATAGAAATATTTTAATTCTTTAGTTGATACTAATTGGTGGAACATCTACAATTGTAATACATGATTCATTCGCTTCATAAAGATAAGAATATAGTATATGAATTCATTTATTATAACTAAATGATATAAAGTAATAAATAAAAGAAAATGAGTAGAGATATCGAATTCGATAATAATTTGTATAATTTTTTGTAAATTATCCAATACTTCTACATCATCCAAATATTGACAAATCATTATATATTTATTCTTACCATGCAACCAATATTTAGGGCAAATAATCGTCTCAACTATATTTGCACTCAACGAACTTCTAAAGGAATCAAGAATCCGATCATTAGTAGGGAATGTAAACCTCGAAATAATCGTGGATATTGAATAGTTAACACATCTTTAGCAAGTTGAGAGACAATCTTGTATTTATTTACTTTCAATTTCCACCAAAGTAATATGTCAAAATGCTCATTAATCAAATCTTCAAAATGATCATTTAAACATTAATCCACCAAATCACTTTAGCAATTAACAGCAAAATCTAAAAACTAAGTTAAAATGTAAACAATTAATCAAGTGATCTCATAAGGAAATTGAGACGCAAATAAACAAAAAATTATCAACAAAAATTTTAAGGGACTACCACACAAATTAGAACAGAACAATACAATTATCAATAAAATATAGCATACAATTACCAAAAATAAGAAAATTGGATAAACTAACTTGAAAATTTTGGTGAATTTTGAGAAAATTATTTGCAGAAGGAAGAAATTTGTAAGTTTGGTCAGAATCTAGATTTTATAATCTACACATTGTAATGGACGATCAATGAATATGGTTCGACAATAGTTGTTTGAACACTTCTTCCAATGTGAGGGTTTTACATTTATAGTTGTGATAGCTGATTTGCATTTGGGTATTATTTAATTAATTAATTAATTATGATGGATAATTGTCTATTAGTCTTAAGTATTGAGTTTAATCCCGTCATGTCTTATATGGATGTATCCTTTTAACTAGGATGTGTTTAGGAATGGAGTTAGGAAAAAATAGATAATTTTCTTTCAGATTTTTTTTTTATATAAATGATTTGACAGTTTGAAACGGTTTCCAAAAATGAAACATAAACCAAATCATCTCGAAGCGTTTTGTTTGGTTTCAAAAACAAAAAGTTGATGAATTCACGTGGATCTAAACCAACGATTTCGAAAAAAGCGATTTCGATTCGATTTTGCAATTTTACAATTTCGTAATTCAACCCTAACCACCAACATCCTCGTCGTCCACATCCGCTGTCGTCGCCTTCCCAACCCATTTCCTCTTCTTTCCCAAAACATCCTAAGGCCACCCCACCTACCCACTCATCCCCAAACTAAATCAAAATCCCACCAATGCCCCCACCGGCTCACCATCGCACTGTTTACATCGGCACCGCCAACTCCACCTACCACCGCAGCTACTCCTTCAACCCATTTACCACATTAACAGCAGAAATCGAAACCCCAAAATTCTAATAGTGCGGTTTGCTTTTTATAAAAATCCATTTCGATCTTCAAATTACTCAATTACTCAAATTCCATTTAGAATTGGGAATTTGAAGAAGATGAAAGAGGTTGTAATAAATTTATAAACACAGTAGATGTAAAAGGATGAATTTGAGTTGCATACAGGCATCAATAGAGGGAAGAGAGGAAGACGAAGAACAAGAGCCATCGGAGAGAGAAGGGAAAGAAAAGCGGCGTGATGGGTCGGTGAGTAGGAGTTTCAATTCCTTGGGCATTTGTAGATTCAATAGCTTTTTGGGTATGGTTTTGATTTTGCTTTAAACGAAACTTTGCTTTCTGGGTGTGGGTGGTCGACCATGGCCATTGATATAATACGGCTGGTGGTGTGAAAGAATACGAGTTTTATATTCTTTTATTTTTTAACATGTTTTATGGGGGAAAATAGCAAAGTTACCAATTACACATTTCAATTTGATCAAAGTTAACTAATGTCATGCAATTGGACTTTAGGTGCGGATTTTTTTTTGAAAGATTTAAATTACAGGTGAGATATGTGTTCGTTTATATATATTGGTTTATGTGTTTTGTTTAACTGTTACATGATTTTCGACCAATTGGGCTACAACTAGTTTTGAAGAGTTTTGAACAGCGATAAAGCTCTCTTGTATTATCATCTTATTCTTAATTTTTTTCTCTGTAAAATTTGACTCTCTGAACCGTCGAAAACCTTAACCGGTTCACCGATTTCCAATTAAAATGGGCGGTTAAAAGATTTTCCACCAAATTTTTCTAGTCCGGCTGTTACCATGTGATCAGACTGCATTTCGGTCCGGTCCAATTTTTAAAACATTGACTATTTTCATTGTATGCATAGTCATCATTCTTATCTTCATTTGAGACTTCAATAATTGGCGCATGACTTCAAATTTTATTCTTTTCACTTTCCAATTTTTTTCAGAATAATTTTATATTGTGATAGTGGTGCCAAAGCACCAATTTATATAGCATTACATAATAAATTTAATTAAATGTGAAATTATGTGATTCATTTAATTATATCTCTCATTTGATGTCACTTAGCAATACTCTTTTTGTATCGCATTTAATATATTGTAAAATTATTTTTTATCTATTTCTCACTTATCAATATGTTCTATTATCGATGATACTTAGGCCCCGTTCGGGAGGGCCTAAAATCTAATTAAAATTGAAAATATGGCCGTTATTGGGTCCCACCCGTCTAATAAAAGTCAACAATAACGGCTATATTTTCAATTTTAATCTGATTTTAATCCCTCCCAAACAAGCTCTTATTATGGTGACAATGAATCTCTGATTCATTCTTTAATAAATTAAGAGTTTGTTTGGGAGATAATTTTTCTTTTTTACAAACTAATTTCCAATCTTCAAAAAATCATTTTTGATATAGTCCAATAAAATTTTCGACTTTTTAACTACACATTCTAAAAAAAATATTCTCCCCCCCCCCCACCCCACCCCACCCCACCCCAATAGAGAGGCACCACATGTACATTATGGACACCATTATGTGTACCATAATGTACATGTAGCATTATTCTATCAATTAAAAGCTTATGCTGTACTAGACTTACAATTCTTAACAATCTGATCTGCTCATCAACAGAGATTACTCTGTCATTAAATAAATCTAAAATCCCCAATAAACTGAGATATTCAAGGACATCATTCCCTCAGCTCTACCATTATCAACTCTTACAAGCTTGCCAGAACTTTTACTTTTTAAATCACGTATGATAAATAAATATGCCTATTTTTTGTTAGAAAAGAAAAGATGGTAAATGCACCTATTTACTTGTGCATTGATCTCTTCTTAAATAACACTCCTGCAGATAACAAATAGATGGAAAAAAAAAATAAATCACCAACCTGTGTGGTCCCCCACGGGGTATGGGTATTTCATTTCGCCAGTGCTTCTCTAGCGCTTTGCCATTCTTCACTGCAAGACTCCAATGTTCTACTCCAGGTGTATGGCGATTTTCTTTGCTGCCACCCATTACATGAAGCCTGCCTCTCCATAGCTGAGTTGCAGGAGCATACCTGAAATTATGTTGTTATGCATCAGTCTCCAATAACATCGCTCGAGTACTTATTTACATGATCAATCATGAAAATCCGCTATTAATTTGTATGGTGACAAATTAAATTCCCATATTCCGTTGATACGACAACTATACGAGCTGCAGTCGAAAGCAAAGTTTTATCTGTTCATCATATGACTGTATTTCGTTGTGTCCAGTTCCGTCTTGAGCATGGATTGGTACCACCTTAAATACCAAAGACGGTCTGTGTAGTATCTAGGCTATAGCCTAGATTGTAACGTACACTTGAAGCTATTTTCAGTAGATTATCTCGTTGCTTAGACTTTCAGAGACTTTTAACACAAAATTCAAATTATTTAAAGAGAAAGGGCACATACCTAGGCGCTGGTAATGGAGGCAAGCTCTCCCATTTCTTGGTCTGGATATCCAGCACAAATGTATGAGCTATAGGACCTCTGCATTGAGGACCCTTCTGCCCAGACACTATATATATGTATCTCCCATCACTTGCCATTCCCAAATGGGAATTCGCCATATCTTTTGGCGTATCAAATCTCCCTCCCCATGAGTTATCCGTGAAGTTGTAAACATCAACATGAGAATGAACCTAATACAGCCATACATATCCACAGTTATGTTCAAAGTAGATAACTCGCCTCTCTTTCAAAGAAAGCATAGATACACTTCACTTCCAGGGCTAACTATACTCAATTTGCATTTGATGAAAAACGTAATACAGCTCTTACATAGTCGAGGGTTCCATATCCTGAAAACACATATAAAAGATTCTTAATCTGAATTGCAAAACCATCCAAACGCGGCACAGGAGCCGACAGCATCTGTTCCCATTCTAATTCTGGAGCAGGTAAATCAGCAAATGTCCCAGATAAATCTCTATGAGGACCTCTATTCTTGTCTTCTTTATTATCAAACTTCTGCAATTGAGTAAAATAATTACCTGCGTTGTAATTATTTTTCCTATAAATCTCAAATTAAATTATAACTCAAAAAACCTTATAAGGGCATTACCTTCTATAAAAGTCCAGAACGCCAGAATCAAAACAAAAACAATATATTGGATTAACTTAAATATGGATGCTAACGTTCTTTCTACTTTTCAAATCATACACAATCCCTATTTTCTAGCTACTGGATTTACATTATTGAAGAAATCACTATCAGTATTCTTCAATTTGAAAAAAAAAATGAAAATGAGCCCAAAAAGGGTAAAAATCTACATTGTGGAAACCCCACACACATGATAATAAACATTTAAGAAGGGGCCAACCTTTTTGTTTTCAGTATGATTGCCAGCGTTTGGTATAACGACAATGCGATCCTTCCGACTAGTCCAGGAGGATGCGGTTGAAGAAGTAGACGACATAGACGCCCATAAAAAATCCACCGTGAGAGCCACCGCAAGAAGACATACAAGCGCTAAAACAACTGTGGATTTTGTGAAACTGTGCTTTACCGTAGATCTTACCATGTTCTTTGAATCTTGAATACAATTGAAAACCCATTTCTACGAGAGAATATTATTATTTTAAATAGAAATGAGAGGGTTTGAGAGGAAGGAATGTTTGAGCAGAAGTTTCTGTGGAAAAGTGTGGGCGCTAATGGTTTACATTGGTTTTTGTTTTTAATTATTTTGAGTGAATAATAAGTGTGTGGCACATGGAAAATTGATGGATGGGTTTGGTTTGGTTGGCAAGTTTTTAGGCATCGCAAATTGTGTTTCCCATTCTGTATTGGACTCTTGGTGTGCTATTTATCTGTGTGCGCGCGTCTTCAAATTGCTATGTAATTTCGACTAGAGGGGTAAATCAGAGCTTAGCTTCTGTTTGAATTTCTATAGAATCTCAAGTTTTTTCATGTCTCAACAGTAAATTAAATATTAAGAAGAGTAATATTATTTATTAGGGTAATTCCACTTGTACATCAAGTGGTGTACGTAAGGGGTTACACCCCCCTTACGGTAAGTTTAGGGCTCTAGAAGACTTGTGGATCTGTCGAATGTGCTTCAAAAAGAGGTAGTGAAAGTCCAATTGATGACCAACAAGAAAGGAGTCAAAAATGAAAAAGTCGAGGTGATGAACCTCTTCAAAATGTCCACTTCGAGGGACTAGTTTATGAGCAACGATGAAGAATTTTGCATGGTATAGTAAGATGATGTAGGTTTAAGGTCATTGCGGTGGATAGTGGTCAATCGGTGACTCGATAACAAGTTTCGAGTTCGTTATAGCCCTCAAACCTAACGGGATAATAATGAATATAAGCAAGGTTTTCACATTCCCCTAACCCAATGATTTCTCTAACGATATTGAATCAAATTTTCCCAAATTTTCTTTTATATTAAGTAGAAAACATTTGCAACCAAAAACTTTAAGATAACTAATATTGGGAACTCTATTTTTCCAAAACTCATATGGAGTTTTAGAGTACTTTCGACTTACCAAAACTCTACTCATAATGTAGCAGATTAAAAAAATGATTTTTTAGGAAATAATTTTTTTTTTTTTTTTTTTTTTTTTTTTACTTTTTCGCAATGGAAACAAATTTTATAACAAATTGTGAAAAAAATTATCACTTTAATGGACAATTTTCATGTAAAACAAAGCCAAACGAATACAAAAAAACCCAAAATTTTAAAATTTTTCGAGTTAAAAATTATAGCAATCAAACACATTTAATTAACAATTCTTTACAAAATAATTTTTAGACAATTACTTTATTTGAAATTCATTTTCTTTCCACCCTTGCAATCAAACGGACCATAATTGATTTGCAAATATTAGGTGGGCCAGTCAAACAAAAACCCATTAGTATGGCCTGCCAAGTCATTTTCTCAACAGGGCTTAGGTTTACGTAAAGGGAAAATTTCATAATTAAGAAGTTTAGTTTTACTAATTTCAATTAAAATTTAAAATTTCAAAGTTTTTTTAATTTTATTAATTAATTAAATATATATTTTATTAATTAAATACATTAAGGTCACAATTCCATATAATTTGGTCACAAATTTCATATGATTGGTTACAAATCACAAATTATTTTACGATCACAATTAAAAAATTTTATAAGTCACAATTTGTTCATTGGTCATAAATCAAAAATTAAAACGTCACAAATTATTTTATGGTCACAATTTAAAAATTTTACGTGTCACAATTTGTTTATCAGTCACAAATTCGAAATTTTATAAGCCACAAATTATTTTACCGTCACAAATCAAAAATTTTGTACGCTACAAATTATTTTACGGTCACAATTCAGAAATTTTATAAGTCACAATTTGTTCATTGGTCACAAATCAAAAAAAATTTATACGTCACAACTTGGTCGCAATTGTATATAATTTGGTTACAAATTTATTTATCGGTCACAAATCAAAAATTTTATAAATCACAATTCATTTATCGGTCACAAATCACAAATTTCATAAGTCGCAATTCAAATTTTTATGTCACATATTATTTATTAGTCACAATTTATCGATCACACATTATTTTTTAGTCACAGAATACCCAAATTAATGATTACAATATTAAATAATTGGTCATAAACCCTCTTAATTCCACTACCTACCCCAATTCACCACCACCACCAATATCCAACAAAATTGTTGCCATCATCGCCCAAAAAACACCAACAAATCAAATCCACAACAACAATGACACACAAAAAAAAAAAAATAACATTAACAGATTGGAGACGCATTGGATATTCAATAATATTTTCAGCTAACAAAAACACTTTAGAAAATTGAAACCTTGTCGTATAGATTTACATCAAAATCAATCTGATAGTCCTCTCAAATACCCAAATATTAAAGCTTCTTCAATGCATCAATGGCACCATAAATTTGTCGACATGCTTGCTTGCACTGATATGTTTAATAGTTTACACTTTGCATTGAAACGAGTAATGGCAGGTGATATGCCACAGCGCAGCCACGTTTCAGCAAATTGTTTTTATGGGTCTGGTGGGTCATGGACCGTGTCAAAACTCGAAGCACCATCGCGGCAGCTCTGCACAGGGGAGGCGTCAACACTCTCTACACCTGTAGATTTACGTTCGGTAAATGAGGTGGAAGAGAAACTAGGGGAAGTTGGGGTCGGACTTGGACTGAAAAATGACCAGAGAGCCCAAACAACCAAAAAAGCCACCAAAGCTCCGCCGGCGTAAAGAAGAGTGTCAGAAAAGAAGGAAGTAGTTTTGCTCCGACCACTGGACTTCGCCATAGAGAAATTTTGATATTGGGACTGCGAGGAGGAGGAGATGATAGGGAGAGAATGAAATGTGATAAATGATTTGGAATTTTTAGGGTTTTGGTAATTATAATTTAGATGGAGATGAATTAATATCTAATTTTTGTATAAATAAAGTTTATATCTGAAATTTGAAATTGAAATTTTAAAAGTCTGGTTTTGTGTAATTTCCTCTCACCTAAATGTTATTCTTTCCCATTTTTATTTTATTTTATTATTAAATTCTGATAAAGTGATCAAAACAACAAGTTTATTTCATTTTCTCACAGAAAAAATGAAGTACAGCAATGGAGAGGGCTATATATATAGACCCAGGGAAAAGAGGGAAAATCAAACAAACTGAAACGAACTAAAAACAAACTAAAACCTTATTTCTAAGAAGGACCTAAAATATGTAAAGAAGAACAATTGAGTCCTTGAATATTAAGAAGAACAATTAAGTCCTTGAAATAATATTCACAAATTCAACCGAATTAAAATATATGAGATAGTTTGATTCTTTACCGTCCATACAATTAATTATAGTTTTAATCATAAGCCTATTTCATAATCCCAGAAATAAACTGCTTAATTAATCATCATTTAGACCCATATCATATTAGTTTTGGGGTGGGGTCGGACAGTGGGATTGTGTCCTCTGTTTTATTTCATTTATTATTCTTATTTTTGTTTCATTTACGTATTTGAGTGTTTCATTTTCATTTTCATATGACACAGATTTTTTTTAATTGGCGGGCATGCCTAGTTTGGCGCTATTACAAGAAGCCTGTGTGAGTGATGCCTTTCATTATTCATAGAGATGATCGTCAATTTAAATGACAATAATTCCCTAATTCATCGTTAAATGTCATTACATAATGAAATTGTTACTATTACAAGAAGTTCGTGTGAGTGATGTTATTTATCATTAATAAAGATGATCAATGATTTAGGTAGCGATGAATCCCGTGTCCTCTAATTCATTGGTGTTCTATTAGCTAATGAATTATGGAGTCCATCCAAAAGGAAGGTTTTCAGTTCGACTACTACTGCTATTTTGGTCCCATCACGCACTTCACACAAAACTTATCCCCAGCAAAGAGTAATAGAGCAATCAACAAGGCAACAATTTCACATAGAAATTGGCTCTTAAGATGTCACATCGAAGCCCCTTCCAGATGTGTGGAATCCTTAGCCTAAACCTCATTCAATAATCTCTCTCTCAGAAATGCCTTTAACTGGTTTTCCTTTTTCATGCGTCCACCAAGGCGAAGGCATTAACCTCACCCCACTCTAATCACTTATTTTCAGCATTCTATTGTTATATATATATATATACGAGTGTTGTATACCATAATTTATAAGCAGTTTCTTTACATTTCTTAATTCCAAATCACTTCCTTCCTCTGAACCAATCTGAAATGGCCAAGGTGCAATCTTTCTCTTTCTCTGCTTACATTTTTAAAATTTGTGTTCTTGTTTCACACACACTAATTATTATCTATTTGACGTATCATGGAAATTTACGTGTGCATATAATTTTGATAATTTGATTTTCTTCGCGAGTGTCAATTTCACGTTGATCTTCTTCATCACTCATCACAAACAAACTAATATGGAATATAACTGAAGAGTCTAATGAACAAAATTTTTGTTTCCGCATATACACATATATGGATTTCATCTTATGTGGGATGAGCTTGATTTTCTGTTTCCTCTCTGGCTTTCGCCCATGAATCCTATAGAAGTTTCCTGGCTCTAATTGCAGAATAGATTTTGAAAGAACTATGCAAGACTTTGTGGGCCTTTTCATACAACACTACTCCTATTCACTTTTATTGTTTTTTAGACTTTTTGTCCAACAGTTTACGGGATTTATAGCGGATTTTTCTATCTGAATTAACAAAGAAAAAATAAATAGAATCTGGGTTTTGTGCTTCTTCTTCTTCTCTGATTATAAATTCTTCACATTTCAATGACTTTTTCTTCTTTTGCTGCAGAAACTAGTCTTAAAACTAGGAATACGCGATCACAAAGAGAAACAGAAGGCCATGAAAGCAGTTTCTAGCCTTTCAGGTACTAAAGAGAGTTAAAATTTTGTCCATGAGACTGTATGTAGCGCCTCGATTTCTGTTAACCCGGATTGCCACGTCATCGTCTTTTGCCTTAATTTTGTCAATCAATTTTGCGGAAATAACCTAATTTTTAAAATCACATTTGCAATTGAAAACTACGTCTGCTATTAAAACTCATAGGATATTTAAAATTTAAATATCATATTTTAGAAATAGCGGAAAACGACAAAATGTTATCAATATTCGAATACAAAAACTTCAAAGAGATAATAATTTCGATAGTCAAATTCTTTTATGCCACCACTGCCGGATCAATCTCGATCGCCTCC